CAGGCTTCTATTCCCCAATTTTTCTAGTACCAAAGAAGAACTCCTTAGAGAAGTTCAGACTGATTTACAACATGCGCAAATTCAACAGACTGTCACCAACGGAATGGATGCTCCATCCTGAAGCGTTTCTGAACATAAGGGAAGTAGCATTCCCTTCCATAGACCTGTTCGCCACGAGGTTCAACAAACAACTGCAGACGTTCGTCTCACCAGTTCCAGATCCTCAAGCCTGGGCAACAGATGCACTGAGCATGTCGTGGGAAGGACTAAACGGCTACGCTTTTCCACCCCGGATACTACTGCCATAAGTACTGATCAAGATCAAACAGACACAGACGCTTACGCAAAGGCTTCACACATCCTCAAGTGGCGGAACATCTATGTCATCTGAGACAGACTAGACATCTAAAAGGTCCGTCTCTATCGACTTACCTCGCTGCCATCAGTACAGTGATTACCATGAAAACAGGCATCAAGTTGACGAAAGTACCAGAATTACTTGCCCTACTAAGATCATTCAAGTTGGAAGACCAACAAAAAGAAATTCAGAGCCCCAGCGTGGGACCTGAATGTAATTCTGCGTCATCTTACCAGTGATGTCTACGAACCACTAGACCAGATCACGATCGAGCTGCTAACACAGAAAACGCTGTTCCTGCTAGCGTTAGCCACTGCAGCTCGCATATCTGAGATACATGCGCTGGACTACGGTCGAACGACGTTCGACAGAGGGCATAATAATACAGTTCATCTAGGACTTAGATGGGACTTTATTGCCAAGAATCAACTACCTGGTCAACCAGATAGACAATTCCACGTACCAGCGCTGTCTACAGTCCTCGGCCCACAAGATATAGAGGACTTATCCTTGTGCCCAGTCAGAGCCTTGAAGATATATCTTCAAAAGACTAAGACGAGGAGAAGGAAATTCAAGCGCCTCTTCATCCCATTATCAACTGAGACATCAACTGAGAGCCTACAAAGCAGCAGGACTAGAACCTCCTAGAGCTTCCAACCCACACGAAGTGAGAGCACTGGCGTCAACACTAGCTCTACACGGAAATTGCTCTATACCGACAATAATGGAGGGCTGCTTCTGGAAGTCGGACACGGTGTTTGCCAACCACTACCTCCGAGACGTAGCCACTGAAGATGTCTCAGGCATTCACCAATTTGGGCCTCTCGTTGTAGCACAGCAACTAACGGTTCCTCAAAGGCGCTGAGTTGTATTCTCACCCTTTATCACGCTGACTTGTAGATGACTTTTACTAGGAAAAAGTATTAGTTTGAAAGTCCATGCGCACAGTCTAGGACAGACTAGCATGAGTGATTAAGATCCTGTGCGGGTAAGGACCTTACCTGCACATAAAGGGATCGCAACTCATTTATGATAAAGACCTTATCATAATCCATGGGTTGTTATAAGATATCTAGTACAGGAGAATACTAGTTTATCTATAACCACACAAATTAGCATGATTCAACTTGTCTGAGATTGAAGTAAGACAAGAAGTGGTCCCCCCGAGTTACTACGCAAGTTGGAAGAATAGGACCACGGATATGCCGTTTGCAGTTCCCATGGGGGGGATACAGGACGTATCTAATGACAGCTGTTGAATCCAGTGGCTTGACCCACCACCTATTCCGAAGGATTCTATAAGCAAAGATCATGAGTCAGGATAAGGAAAAATATGTAATTTTTTAAGTAAAATTGATATTTTATACTTATCCTGACTCATGACGAACAAGCCCTCCCAACCTCCCTGTTGAAGACACTTGCGATTTCACAGCAGATCCAAGTGCATGAGCGAAAATTATAAGGAGAGAGTGACAAGTCTGGGCACGTCACATGGTAAAGATAAAGATCATGAGTCAGGATAAGTATAAAATATCAATTTTACTTAAAAAATTACATTTTTCTGTAATGCAATATAATTAAAAAATATGAAAAAGGGGGCATAAGAGAAAAGAAATGTTTGCTATTACAATGAGGAAAATGAGTGTTTCTGCTCAATAAGTACCTATCTGGTATGATTGTGGTATGGTGAGAAATTATTGAATACAGTACAACCAGAAATTATTGAGAATTTGAAGATTGTAATTGTTTTATTTTTTTCACTCATTACTCACGTATTAAATGTGAATATTAGCAGAACATAACTCCAGATTCAAAGAGAGGTGAACAGTTAGTATTTTGTCAAGTCACCATGGGCAGCAATGCAGGCTTTAAAGCGGCGGGGCATACTACTGATCAATGAAGTTAGAAAGTCGTGGTCCATGCTGTCCCAATATCGGACCACCTCTTCTTTCATTTCAGCAATATTTGTCAGATTTTTCTTATTGACACTTTCCTTCATAAGTCTCCAAACATTTTCTATTGGATTTAGGTCAGAGCTATAGCTTGGCCAATCTAATAATGTCATATTTTGGGTCCGAAACCAGGCCTGTGAATGCTTTGAACGATGTTTTGGGTCGTTGTCCTGCTGGAAAATCCAAACATTTCCATAGAACACTTGAGCAGATGGAAGTAAATGTCCCTCGAGAATATCTGTGTACCGCTCACTGTTCATTTTCCCTTCAAATACACAGAGGGGCGTTGCCCCTAACACAGATATGCCACCCCACATGTTAAATTTCGGACTGTACTTTGGGCACTGATACAAAGGTTTTTCAGTTTGTTTGGTCCAGAATTTCAATGTATTAGGAAACAGCCACACAGAACCTTCATCTGAGAAAATCACATTGTCCCAGTTAAAATTTCTATGCTGTAAGCACAAGTTCAACCTTCGCTCCTTTTGTTCAGGTTTCATGATCGGTGATGGAATTCCTCGACTTTTCTGCATTAATGAGGTTCTTGCAAATGCAGGATTGTCTCCTGTTCTAAGCACAAGTTCAACTCCTTTGTTCAGGTTTCATGATCGGGTGATGGAATTTCGACTTTTCTGCCAACCCATTGCATGCAGCTCAGTTCTAATTGTCTCCTTACAGACAGCCACAGTTCCTCTATCAATCATATCCAGCCTTACGTTTTCTAAACTCCTTCGCTTTTGTTTTAGAAACAAGAATTCCTGTCACCGACAGTCAATTTTCTGGGCCTACCTGCGCCCCTGGTGCTCAATGCCATATATCCATTTGCAATATTTTTCAAAACACGATAAACAGTGGACAAAGGGAGGCCTGTTCTACTTGAAATTACTTTAGCTGATCTGATGTCCTTGTTATAATACTCTAAAATCAACTTCCTCTTCTCTAAATCATCCATACTGAGGATCACTGAAAATGTCGTCTGCTAGCAAGTAAACAAAGGGGGATAACTCTTCACAAACTAATGAAAAAGGATAAACGGAGTTGTCTCTCTTGAATGAAACCAAGCACTTGATAGCTGGTCAAGGTTGTTTATACTAGAAATCCAATTAAACATATTCCAAAAATTCTCAATAATTTCTGGTCATACTATACATGTATTGGTTAATACCTATTTTCCCCAACATTAGGCTATGCTACAGCATGACCACCAATACTGATGTCTTAATAGTAAAAACAGCTTTTAACATTAATTAGAGGGACCTTAAACAATTAATGTCTCAAAAATAAGTGCTGAAGTAAATTGCATTTTGTATGAATTGTATTTGATTGGAATTGCATTTCTTATTTTGTTCAAGAAAATACAGTACAGAATGTTTCAGTATTTTAAGAAATTTCTTGAAAAGAGTTATTCTTAGTTGGTTATTTTCTCCTTTAATGTATTTTGGATAAAAATGTGTAAAACAAATAATTACATTGGTTTTGTCTAATGTTCCAAAGAGTGAAGTGAGAATCAGCAAGTAATTGTGGTAATCATATTAATGGAATATCGAGCCTTGAAAGTAACATTTGATAAGCTTATGTGTTATTCATAAAATCTCAGCATTATTCTTCATAATAGCTGATGACTTTTTTCATTTGTGGAACTATCCAGCAATGTACTAACATTTTGTATGAACTGCCATTTGCTGTGTACAAATCCCTTTCTGGTCAAGTAGCTTTAATGACTGAAACATTTTGTAAGCATCTGTGATACCATGATATGATACTAACTTCACCTTCAAGTGACCTGCTTGTAGAACATTGTGTCAATATAATCTTTAGAGGTATAGGGCATGAATTTAAAATTGAAAAGGACATGTAATGTTTAAGTGAACCTGTGTTTTGTATTTTATCTATCAACTTATCAATAGCATGATTAGCCGTGTTTGAAATGTCAATCAAATGTTTGATGGGCATATTGGCTAATTGATTTCCTGAACCATTCATGATATTATACACAGTATTGACAGATGTGGATACAATACTTAAACGTGAACTATGATAAATAGCTGAATTATGATTGTGCGACATTGACATTTTCCTGAAATGTTTCTGGCCTTTGTGGCTCAGCGAGGGAGTGTCATTATGGCATCAAGCAGCACTTCAATTTATAGCTCGAGTTTATGGTAACATACAAGAATGCAACACTTATTCATTAACACTGTCAGCCCAAGATGTATGCTAAAGAACGCATTCTCCTATGCTTAACAATGCCTTTTTGTAATTGGATTTTTTTATGGAATATAATGTGTGAAACAAAAAAAGGAATGAAAAATGTGTACAGATTTGTTAGAATAGATAGGTTCTTGTTAAATAATGTTTGAATATGTATATATCTTTGTTTGATTATTTTTTTAGATTAAAGATGTTTGAAATTTTAGCATTAAAGCATTGTAAGCAATATTGTCTTTTTACATAATGTGTGGAAATATAGTCAATACTTTTTAAAATGTTTGTTAAGATTATGTGAACAAGCTGTTAATGTTTAATTTTCACCACAGGGAATTCCTTTTTGACCTACATAAAATATCAATATCACAGCTACATGATTTTCATGAAAGCTAGTATGCGGTCATGAAACATAAAACTATCCGATATGGCCTTGACAATTTGAATACAAATGATATTTTGGTGTGTGCCATGTGTTACCAGCTCTACAAGATACCTATATTCTTACACTGCAAGCATTATGCTTATAGCCCATCATACAGGTTGATATCTGCTGTATAACACCGGCAGGTGGTTGTTGAAGAAGCCGGGAGTGAAACAGGTTGGAATGTTAGGGACTGTGAAACAAGTAGTACTCAATAATGAGTAACAGATCAAGTGGAGGACGATACCAGGAGGACAGATCACGAGACCACATTTCAAGGAATCGAGACCACAGCCCAAGATTTCGTGAACACAGATCAAACCCTCGGGACAAAGACTCACACCCTCGAGACCAGGATGTGCGGTCTCGGAGAGCTAGTAGATCCCTTGATCACTTATATGAGACTGTTGACAGGTTACCGTCAGCTTATAGTAGTAGTGATGATTACACGTTATCTCGCACAAAGGACCGGATACCTACCTCATACAAAGATAAGTCAAGGCAAACACAGCGCATGGCGGCACCGACATACAGTAGCAGTGACGATTACACCTGGGATCAGGTTCCAAGAAGGTATCATGAAAAATTGCAAAGACCTGAAATTATAGCTCTGAGGTCCTATACCAGTAGCAGCGATGGTTATACATCTAGTGACAGATCTGAACACAGAAGTTCCCGATCTCGAGAGCGTACGCCCCAGATGTATGATCGTGTGCCTGTACGATACCATGATTCCACCCCAGAAAGGTGGCGGAGAGATGATGCAGAACAGAACAGGGATCGTAGATCTGACTCGAGAGATCGCAGTGGAAGAAACAGGGATGGAAATCTACAAGATCAGGTTTACTTAAGTCGAAGTCGCGATGATGTGTATAAAATCAGGGTATCCCTTCCATACAGTAATGATCGTGCTACTCGAAGCCGAGATGATTTGGATCATGTGGTCGACAGCTCAGTCAAATCTCACAACAGGTCAAGCCAAAGTCGATCGGAATTTCGTAAAAAATCAGATAGTCTGTCACATTCTCAAGAATTGTCAGACAGGAATCGAGACAGTGTCCAGCAAACAAGGGCTAACCAAGCACGTCCTCAAGAAAATTCAAGTAAAACACGGAATGATGTGGCTCGAATTAAGAATAACCCAACAAATTCTCAAGTGAAGTCAAGTAAAACTCAAGATAACCCAACAAAATCTCAAGTGAAGTCAAGCAAAACTCAAAATGATGCGGGTCGAAAAAAGGATAGCAAAGCAAGCTCCAAAAGCCGTTTAGGTCGAAATAAGGATTCCAAACGTGTTAAGCCAAAAATATCTCGGTCGCAAGAGATTCTGCCAGAGCCTCGAGATCACAGTGCTCCTCGCTGGGATTATTGTAAGTGTTTAGAATGTTTTTTTAATTTTTAAGAAGTTTAGTTTGTCTAGAAAATATAAAATATAAAGTATGTTGAACTTATTTAACAGTAACATAATCCTCTTTTGTATTTCAGATTTACAGTCTGACAGATACGATGGAAGGTCTCAAAGTAGCTTGTCCACGGTCAGGTAAGATTTGTGTGATTGTTCAAGTTCACTTGGACTAATGTACACGGACATACAATAACACTAAAATGCAAACTTCAACACCCGTGAAGGTCCGGGTTAGAATATTGGCCTTCAGTGACCTATGCTTGGTGTAAGAGGCGACTAACTAAGAGGTGGATCGGGTGGTCAGGCTCGCTAAGGCAACCCACTAACACAATAACACTTTTTCATTGACTCACTGACGCTCTGACACACTCAAACACTAACACAAAACCTGACACTAACACTGACTCACTGACAAATTGTAACACTAAAACTGACACTGACTGTCTGACACGCTGACACATTCTATCACTAACACTATAACTGACTTACTGGCACACTGACACACACTAACATTAACACTAAAGTTAGAAAGGACTGTTTGTCAATATTTATCATGCTATGTAAAATCAACCAATAGTGTGAATGTATATTGCCTGGGTGATGGCGTTATTCTCTATTTGCAAGGCTTCAGCGTTAGCTACTGGGACAAGTGTGCAAGATCACCCCAGGGGATATAGTAATTATGACCATATTTTTATCAATATGTCACTTGCAGCTTATAATTTGGTGTCAAATGTCATAATGTAGGCAGACAAAATAAATGCTACATTGTTCAGAAGTTTTGTATTATTGTAGCTTTTTGTGTTTTGGAATACAGTTAAAAATTGTACATATTTAATAAATGTGATCTTTTCAGATGGCAAATGTGTATTGTAGTAAGGTGTGACATATAATTGCCAGTTCTCAACAATTATATAATGCAAAAATAATAATACAGTTCCATAACGCTCAACCAAAGAATACTGACTGACTGGAGCAAACTAACAGAACTACCAGCATGTTATGTGGCTAGAGAATTGAAAAGATGAGAGTGATTTCCTTTCATTACTAACTGTGGATGGGATGACCTAAGAAAGTGACCAAAATCTGTATATTCATCTGTATATTAATAAAACCAGCATGAATCAGGACCAGCAGCTGCCTACAAACCTGAATGCATGTGGAAAAATCCATTTCATGTCACAACCATGTTCTCATTTTACAATGGGAACCTAATGTATGATGTTGTTTTTTACAATAGAGAATGTTAATAATATATGTATGTTATCACATGGCATTAAATCATTTGTATTTCATTGCCAGACCTATCATTGCTTGGATGTTTGATGTAGCTTATTAGCATTGCATTATTCAAATGATCATCACATCCACTCATGTATGTTGAAGGCTTTTATCTATGTAAATGGAGAAAACCTAAGGCTGTATCTGAATTGCCATGCCAATTGTTTTTGATACATTGATCAGTTATGTCAAATGTCAAGTCATCCTGAAGGTGACAATACCTGTAAAGTTATGGGTTAGAAATGATCTTCAGTAACCCATGCTTGTTGTAAGAGGTGACTAACTTGGTTGACATCGGTTCCCAATTGTGTAGATCGATGCTCATACTTATGATCACTGGACTGTCTGGTCCAGATTTGATTATTTACAGACCACCGCCATATAGCTGGAATATTGCTGAGTGCAGCATAAAAATAAACTTACTCACACAGTGCTCGTGAGCGCTCACTTACTCACTCACTCACTCACTCAAGGTGACTCCTGGAACAAACTTGAGAAGGATTTACTGTAGTTCCATGAAACTTGGAATGTAGAATTTGGACAGCTACATGCCATCCTTAGAAAAGTTCAGAAATTCAGAAAAGGACTGTAGAACATATAATCTCAAGGTGAAAAAGCTAATGCCATACACCAGGAGTATTTGCCATTTGTCTGCCGTTTCCTGCAGATATTGACTTAAGTTATTGTATTGTTTTAATCCATGTAGTGATAAAATCATTTGAGTGAATGAGTTTAGTTTTACGCCACTTTTAGCAATATTCCAGCAATTTCACAGGGGTGGGGGTGGGTGGGGGCGGGACCAGAAACGGGTTCCACACATTACACCCTTGAGGGGAATCGGACCCGGTTATATCATTTGAAGATGTATATGCCAATTGATTACAATCCTCTGATATCTGTAGTATCTTTTAGCTAATTTATATAAGTTGACTGATCTATATTGTTTTGGGACATTTGTTCAGCCAAGAAACAGAGCAAGTGGAGCCAGTAACCTTGTTAGTATAAATGCATATGGTCTTTCGGAAAACTTAGGAGACCACTCTCTGCGAGATCATATAAAAACACCACTGGACATGCAGTTTGTTGAAGCAGAATCACCATCCACAAGTAACTTCAGTCAAACACAGGATGTTTAGCATGGAATCGTTCACATGTGTGACATATTGCAGCAGCAACAACAACATCCCATGTCTCAACAGCTTGTAGGTGATCATTGCCCCAAGCATGTCTCTTCAAGGTCCTAAAATTAGAACTGAACTTCGTCGTTTAATTAGATTTCAGACAATTTTTACCAAGCTGTATGCAGCATTTCTGAAGTATACTGCCACCATGTGGTCACAAATTCAAGTTTGGTGAAAATATCTTCCTCTTTCTAACAGAGGCCCAGATAAGCTGCGTATCCGGGTAAAATACGCATAGAAAATTTCCAATTACGCATTGAAAAATAATTGTTGCGTACCAATTACGCATTTAAAATGTCAGATACGCAAAAAAATTTAAAACAAATGCGTACGGAATGTATTTATAAAAATCGCTTGCATGATGAAAAAGACATCGATTGCTATTCAAGTTGTACTGTCAGTATAGAATGAGTGATTTTTTATGAAATCATTTCCATTATATTTAAGTTGGTTTTGCTTTGGTATAACATAATGCAGAACATACCTGCTTAGTAAACTTACTCAATGACATAATACTTAGGTGAGTAAAAAGACTGAAATACACACATATTTGAAAGCAGTGGATAACGGAAAATGAAATACCCACTCAAAATTCATAATACCCACTCCAACAAATACAGTGGTTACAGTACCCACATGAGCTAAATCTTATCTGGAGCTCTGTTCTAATGTGCTTAGTGCTACAGTGGCTTCTGATTGATGACTGTGTGAGACTTTGTGTGTATCGCTAACTCTTGAGGTGCATTAAATTACAGGTTTAACACAATGCGATATACTACAAAAGATGTTTGAAAAATTCTGGTACTTTGCATTTAAAAAATCTTGCTCATGTTCATCTTGCTTGAACTGTTTACATAAGTGAGAACAATTGATGAGTCGAAATAGAAACATTTTGAAACTAATACCCATTTCCTGCAATGGAAAGGCAATCTGTTTGCAACCAGTTTTCTGTATATACCAGTCCTTTGAATGCTACTTAGTCTGTTGTGACAATACCATCTTGATTATTTCTTGTTGCTATGACAGGTGCTTGCTCTTAGTTGCCAGTTGTCATTTAAACCATTAATTTAGTCATAAACAATTGTGTACGTGCCATGTACAGGACTTTCTCGTTTCCAATTGTTCTGAACAGGGAATGTGTTTCTTGAACCGATTATAATTCACAAAGTCCTGATTTTATTTACTTGGATCTGACCATCTTGAATACATAGGACTTAGTGTAAAAAAATATAGTTCATTATCTTTTCTGTGTGTATGTTGTACAAAGTAACTAAGCTCCTGAACATAAATATTATTCCACCTTCAGGAAAATTAGGTTGTCACTCGCTAGGAATGGAAATGCATTTTGGAATTTCGCTATGATTGTAATAATATTTGTCTGTTTTGTGTGCATGTGTAATTCTTTTGTCAATATGCATGATATTTGTGTCATGGACAAAGAACTCAGCCAAAAAAATGGCCCATGACGTACAAAAACAATATCTTGTTTTATTGGCACCCTTTTCCTAGAGGTATATAAAATAATTTATTGGATTATTATTATGAATGGTGACAAAGTATATCCTGTGGAACAAAGTTTGAAGAGAGCAATATTGTTTAAATTACATCGTATGCCCCCTCCATCTGTGTATCCTTGCAGGGGCGGATACAGCTTTTTGAGAAAGGGGAGTGCACAGTTAATTTTTACCCGTTTTCACTGAGTTGCACCCCCCTTTGGATCTGCCCATGCCAAGTCCATATCCTGATTGGTTTCTGTGTATAAAACTGCAGTGTGATTGGTTATCAAACTCACTGTGGTGGTGCACCAGTTTATGTCCAAACACAGCTTCAGCACTTAACTCATATTGCAAACCTGGCTAAATGTACAGATTTAGAAGTTTTTATATGCTATAACACCCTAGGATGATAAATATTATAACTTGGCTGAAGGTAGATTGTGATTATATCCAAGGGAGATAATAGGCCTTGGTTATGTTGGTACATTTGTACTTTGGATGTCAGTTTTGTGACGTGGGAAATGTGCAGGGATGTATAAGAAGTTGCTATGCAATTTGCTGTGGTAAGTTTAATGTGACATTTAAATGACGGCACATTTAACATTGGATACATATAGCATGTTTTAATATGGTACTATGCAGTTAGAAGTGATGTGTTAAATGTAATGTTAATGCATGAGAAATTGTTCACACCTTATCATATCACATGTCATAGTTAATGTAAATATGATGATCTGTGTATATTCATATCGTCTCATATGGAATAAAATAGGTTCAGTACCAAGTTCTTGTCATCATTAAGAGCTGATGAAACCTGGTATTGGAATGCTAAACAGTTGAATATGGAGTAATATACAGGGACAGTTAGGATCATTAACACATTATTGCAGGGCTTGTTATCGATATATATCACAGAGTCTGATCATCATTAACTAGATATTGATTGATTAGTAATAAATATTAGAGAAATAATATTAAACAAAAATATAAAATGAGTCCGAAAGATATCAACCTATTTCACTTTAGTGGTGAGTGATGACACATATATGTATGGATTATTGACAAAACAAGGTTGCTGAACATTGTTCATAGGAATAAAAAATGTGATTTTGTGTATTGTGTGTACAATTTCATATTTTTCCACCATAGTTTATGTAAGATATTGTCGATAACGTTT